GCACTTGTGGGAATACCAAATATGCTCCGACGTCGACTTTAATAACATTACATAAATATGACGGTAGATTTGAAAATTTAAAACATACCAGACGCTCGCCTACGAATCCGAAGGGTTTAGATTCGAATTCGAACGCATTCAGTTTTTTTTTTAAAAATGACATTGGCTCCCATGTCGACCCAACCTTAAATGGGTACCAGCTATAGTCCTTGGAAATAAAGGCGGCCGGCGTGACCACACCACATCATGCACCGAGTGCCGACAGCTCTAGCCCTATACAGCTGAAAGCGTGGAAAAGGATACTTGACTTGTTACATAACTTGTTACATAACTTGTTACTGGACTAGTTACATAACTTGTTACTTGACTTGTTACATAACGTGTTACTGGACTAGTTACATAACTTGTTACTTGTCTTGTTACATAACTTGTTACTGGACTAGTTACATAACTTGTTACTTGACTTGTTACATAACTTGTTACTGGACTAGTTACATAACTTGTTACTTGACTTGTTACATAACTTGTTACTGGACTAGTTACAAAACATGTTACTGGACTTGTTACTGGACTAGTTACATAACTTGTTACTGGACTAGTTACCAAACATGTTACTGGACTTGTTACTGGACTAGTTACATAACTTGTTACTGGACTAGTTACATAACTTGTTACTGGACTAGTTACATAACTTGTTACTGGACTTGTTACATAACTTGTTACTGGACTAGTTACATAACTTGTTACTGGGCTAGTTACCAAACATGTTACTGGACTAGTTACATTACTTGTTACTGGACTAGTTACATTACTTGTTACTGGACTAGTTACATTACTTGTTACTGGACTTGTAAGACAGGGCAGGGTTTAGGTCGGTGGCGGCTATAAAGTAATTCGTTACAAAACAAGGCTGCCCCCACAAGTGAAAACAACTGGGAACCACTGCCCTAAAGATGGTAATCGCCGATCTACATCTACTACGCATTCAACCCGGCGAAAGGAAAATCAGACATGAATTTCTCCGACCACATTTGGTTTCTGTTGCCGGCTCCACAAGGCTTCACTTGCGAGCGGGCACTTTTGTTTATCTTCTATGACAAACCGTGTTTATCTGAATTCTCATTTATACCTAATGATGTTTCGACTGGCCTAGATTGCTAGTCCTGTCTGCTAGCGCCTGCCGTGTTTACAGTCCTCGTAAACTTATGCCCTGAGTAAACTTCTAGCCGAAGTAAACTTTCAGCTAAATTAAGCTCTCACCCAAATTAAGCTCTCGCCCAAATTCAGCTCTCGGCCACACAGCATGGAAGTGAGAGCAGGAACATTCGGTGAGGAAAACATATATCTCGATCAAACTAATGGATCTGTAAATAGATCAATCTTCGTCTTGGCATTCACCGGCTCTACATTCAAGGGAAAGGTCCCGATTGTTCGTCCACTGCTGGACTTTGATCTTCTTCCAAGCAGTTAGAAAACGATGTAGACAACACAGAGGGGTGGTTTTAAACATGTAAGCAGGGAGATGTAGTTGCTTATAGGCTGAGGTAGGTGGTAAAATAGAGAGAGGCATAGATTGTTATACTCAGTAGTAAAATAGAGAGAGGCATAGATTGTTATACTCAGTAGTAAAATAGAGAGATGTAGATTGTTGTATAGTGAGGTAGATGTAAGGCAAGTTTCACACATTTCTATGAAACAGATGGATATGGGAAGGAAAATACACGTAGGGCTGACACGCAACAGAGAGCCCCGAGGTGGTGAGGTACCGACCCATACATCTGCATCGTTCCTGATGTAGACACCTGTAGACCTAACGCTAGCCCTGCAGATCAGTTCGGTGTGGCCACTTATGTAACTGTTTATCTATCTACACACTGGACGTTCTACAGTTGGAAATGTCGGGAGAGCCACTGTTCTCGTGGCAGTCGGACAACGGTACGAGAGCTGCACTGTGTAAAAGACTAGATCAAGCGATGTAATATTGTAAGAGGTATCATTGGATAAACTGTAACCTCCTCCTCCTTCTTCTTCTTCTTCACCTTCTTCTTCGGGTTCGCCGGCTGTACTATTCGGCGGAAATTGTTGGTTGTTTGTCCACTTCTAGAACTAAGTGTTGCGTGCACATTCGTTTTACAGATCTGACTCACTAATATGCAGGCTGTTGGTTGCGTGCCTCTAAGACAGATTGACTCCGACTTTGAAGGAAGTTTCCGATGAACCGACTCTTACGACACACTTGTTGGATAGGGAGGGTTTCTATTCTAGTTTTCCCCCACAATGAGGTCCATAACCCACACGGGGAACCTGTAGTCAATTTTCGCTGTGGAGACGGCACACCATTAATTAATGCAGTTAAGACCTCTGACATTTGATCAGAACTGACCAGGGACACACGGAATTGTTCTACTTATAAGAAATTCCTCTTATTCAGGTCAGAGTCTGAGCAAAAACAGGGATTCACTTTAAGCGTTGTGCACTCTTTAACAGAGACAGTAATATAATTATGACAGAACGGTGTAGGCAAGCAGAGAAGACAGCCAGATATCCCAGTATGAATGTACGTATGCACAGGGAAAACCTACACATGATAGCAGACATATAAACATTCTAGTGTAGACATACAAAATGTCAGATTATTTTATGATTTAAACTGAAAAGAAACACAAGACAGATATAGCTCATTATTTGAAGATAAAAGAGGAAATTGTAAAATAAATATATCTCAACCATGTAGCATTAAACGAGAGAAAACTAAACAAGTCTGACAGGTAGTCAGTTAGAAGGGACAAGCTATTGAAGTGCATGATACAGACTGTAAACGCGAACAGAGGCCGACAGATACCTCTGTGTTTGTCACACATAAAAAAATCATGATCACTGGGTGTCAGCCATTCATTAGTGCACAAGCGATAGGAAGAGTGTTGGCTGTAGTAGAGGAGTTAGAACAACAATATGATTTCACTGAATTCGTTTGACCAAGTTTCCTAAACACGGGTTGCTCCTGTTCACCTGCTAGTGAAAATCACAATAATGTCCGTCAATGTCTCTTTTAAAAATTAGTGAAAAACATTCACACACGCGTTAGGTAGCTGCCAGGAATGCCAACACTAACAGTAGCACAGCAGAACTGCAGCTCACTGTTGATGCAAGCAGTCTACTACGAAAGCAGGAACTGCTTCCACAATACTGCATACGTAAATTTTATTCAGAACGTAATCGGCCATACGCATTTTAAATGCAGATCACAACACAGATACACCTCGGGCAGAACAGCAAAAAATATCCACAGCTCACAGTGTCGCATGAAGCACTCAGCTCAGAAAATAGACGACGAAACTTTGGACTCTCGGTCCAGACATGGGGAACTGGCATTAACAAACCCTGGTCAAAAGAAGCAAACAACTTTTCACAGCGTCGCCGGTATGCCAACGACCTACAAACTGGATTGGAAATCTGAACCTCTTCAGTAAATCCACGGGCACCAGCGACAGGAGACAACTTTTCTGTGTCCATTTTAACTCTGTGGGTACTAAATGTCTCAGCGGAACGGCTGTTCGCCTATCGATGGTCGTCATACACAACATTGTAGCCCCAGGGACAACCCACAAGTATCTTCGAAATAGATGACTCTCATGATTTAAACAAAACTGAGAAAACGAAGCCATGACATTCAGAGCGAACTGTTTGGACAAGACCACGGCGATAGGGTCGGTGTAGTGTGCAGCAGGACGTGCAACACTGACAGAAACATACATGCTCTCTTGTGTAGAGGACTAGGATACAACATAGCCTAGAGGAATATACATGGCAAGGCTGTTCAAGGGAGGCCCGCGGACAGAATCCGGGCAGCAGATGCTTAGCAATTGGCCCACTATTAAAAAAAAAATTGCACACTGCAAAGTTTGACAGTACATTGTACAAGACAACGATTCTAAATTTCCAAGCTGTAGACTCCCTGTCAGGGTTCTGGGATCCCACTGTGTGGAAAACAAAAACAGAACCACCAACTTCCTAACAAACATGTCGTAAGAGTAGACCACCGCCTTCTCCTGTGAAACTGGAGACGGTGGTGGAGTAAAACAAATTAGCAGCTTAAATCAAAGTCGAGGAACATCTGTCTTGAGGGACGAGATCCAACAGTCTGCATTGAAATGAGTCCGATCTTTGAAACGGACATGCACGCACCATTCAAGTTCTGAAACAAGACTTAAGTCCAGAAGTGGACGAACAACAAATACATTTTGGAGTAGTTTAAGGGGAGGGGGGTTGGCCCTAGGGCTTGGGTAGACAGGGTTGGCCCTAGGGCACGGGTAGACAGGGTTGGCCCTAGGGCTCGGGTAGACAGGGTTGGCCCTAGGGCTCGGGTAGACAGGGTTGGCACTAGGGCTTGGGTAGACAGGGTTGGCCCTAGGGCTTGGGTAGACAGGGTTGGCCCTAGGGTTTGGGTAGACATTTTAGAACTGAGTAAAGTAACCAGACGATTTCCTCTGCTGTAGTGAACTAATGATCTTCTGTGACTTCGCTCGGCCCTCTGGCTTTCGCTCGGCCCTCTGGATTTCGCTCGGCCCTCTGGCTTTCGCTCGGCCCTCTGGCTTTTCCTCGGCCCTCTGGCTTTCGCTCGGCCCTCTGGCTTTCGCTCGGCCCTCTGGCTTTCACTCGGCCCTCTGGCCTTCGCTCGACCCTCTGGCTTTCGTTCGGCCCTCTGGTTTTTCCTCGGCCCTCTGGCTTTCGCTCGGGCCTCTGGCTTTCGACGATCCCCATTTTCAACATTTAGACCGCTTTAGAGTAAAGTTAGTTGAATCAAGACCAACTTTAGCTGACAGCCGGAGTCGGTCTTGGTTGAATTGCCCTGAACTATGGCCTAGGGTAGAGAAGCAGGATGGAACAAAACCAGCAGAATTATGTGTGATTGCTGATACGAGCGGTTATCAAAAAGCAAAACCACACGAACACATACATACACCATATGTAAAGGCAAACTAACACAAGAAACAACTTACCGCAGCTATCGCACAACACTGCTTTGACTTCCGCAATCACTTTCTTCGACTTCTTCACCGGCATGGCCATTATTCTGAAATATAATCCTTTCTTATCCTGAGTGTCTTTGAGGAAGAACACGTACGTCCGACCTGTCTGCACGTGGCCAAGGCAGAGCCGTTTATCCTTGGCTCCATCTTTGAATCTGTCCACGGTGATGGTTTTGGCAACACGGCCCTTGTTGATGAGCTCCTTGCCTTTGAGGACGTTTTTCTTGACCGCAACTGTGATGTTGAAGGTACCGTCTGGATCAGGGTCCGAGCTGGACCGGACCTTGCCTTCTATGACAACATCAGCCAGTAGGGCACTGGAGGATGGGTCCACGAAGTTCTGGCCGCACGTGCCGCTGACCACATGCACGACACACAGGAGCAGGCCCAGGAGAACAAACCGTATTCGGCACCAACGCATGATACGTTTGTCGGGATTAAAGCTTAGTGGCAAGGACTAAGGTTGCCTAATTGGTCGAGGGTTGTAAAACCACTCTTTGCTTTCAGTTAGGAGATAGTTTCGTTACAACTCTTTAAAATGTTACGCTTGTCTAGTCACAATTCTGTGTTTTTGTGATCTCTTTCGCGTGAGATCCCTGGCTGGTTTGAACACTGCCGACTACACAAGTGCGGAATGAATCCATGAACCAGGCTGAATACTAGCTAGTAGGCTAGCATTGGATCACATCTGAGACCAAATCTACACAATTCACGGGTCTAGACATAATTCGCATAAAGATCGACACAATCCAATAATAAATACACAATCCATGGATACATCTGCACAATCTACGGATATATCTACACAATCCACGGCTAGATCTAGTCACCACACGGGGTGAACACACCGCGACAGTAAGATCAAGAAATACAACAGCACAGGCGACACCAGGGCGACACTTACTTTGCCCTAAGTTACCGGATACGAAATTACGTAAAGCCCAAGCAGAAACCACTTTGGCAACTTGTGAAATAGCAAGCTATCTGCACCGAGCCTAGATAACAACATATTTTACTTTTCAACTTTAATCCAATTAAAGTTATATATATTTTTTTTTTAAATACAACGGCAGCGTGTGGTAAAACAATGTGTGGTTTAGTTTGTGGACTTTTAACGTGAAGGTACTGGAGTGGTGGCAAGTGTCCTATCTAAGGCGTAAACACACGGATAGACACACACACAAAACGGGAAGTGAGACGATGCACCGACTACACCCAAAAAGAAACACGACAGTAGTACAACTTGGCCGCTACACAGGTGTCAACTTGCAGCACAGAGTTAAGACGACGGTTCAACTGCAACAGAGGTTAGCGAAGAACGACAAACTGAATCCTCTCGTCGCTTGTACTGTGGGTATTTGGTCCGTTAAATGAATCAGGTGTTTCAAGCCTGGACGGTGTCTCTGGTATGTGAGACTTAAACGTATCTGAGATTTATTTGTCAGTCAAGCTAGACTACGGGCGGGCGATAGCGCCAAGCATTTTTATTTGTTTTGTTAACAGCAGTGCGCGGATGAATGGATGGAGACACTCACATCCAGCCCTGACTTGATTTCGTAGATCACACACGCTGTACCGACAGACCTTAGATCAATTCCTCCCACCCCCTCCCGTCAGTTGAACACAGCGCTGGCAGAACTTGTTGGCTTTCCTCAGAACTGGCTGGTCCAACCCTGTTCACTGCCCCCACGTTGCCACTCACTTCTGGTCGTCGGCAAGGTGGCTGCAGTCGTGGGCTGCCGCCGCTCGCAGGCCTGCTGTATTCAGGTTGCCGCCGATGCTGCCACAGACTCCCAAAGTTGTAGTTGTAACCGAGACTTCGGCCGTTCCCTGGTGTTTATATTCTCTGCAATGTGTCCGTCAACAGCGCCTTACAACTGAACTTTCAGCATCCCAACTGATAACAGACGGGTCTCCCACAACACTGTTACAGAGAATACTTTCAAGGACAGCCTGTCTCTTTTGAAATGCCGGATAATTGTTCTAACACGCAAGTTAAAACACCAAAGTCTGTTTATTCCTTACATAACAGCCGGTGTCTACACTCCGCAGCAAACTACAGATGCTTAGTCTTTATCAGTAGACAGGGACTTGTTAGTTGGTGCCTGGATTATGACTGTAGTGGTCTTGCTGACGCTTGCATTGTCTCGACTGGACTTTGGCGACCAGCGTAAGGTTAGACACTAAAGGATCAACTTTTTGCGATGGGTATTGAACAAAATAAGGCAAGGTAATTGACTGGAAAAGGTGGTGGGAGAGGGGGAGGGGTCTTTGAAGATTTAGGGCGGCATGTCCAGTACTGTATCCACAACCTCAGGTGACCTTATCCAGGATTTAGGACGGCATGTCCAGTACTGAATCCACAACCTCAGGTGACCTTATCCAGGATTTAGGGCGGCATGTCCAGTACTGTATCCACAACCTCAGGTGACCTTATCCAGGATTTAAGGCGGCATGTCCAGTAATGTCACCACAACCTCAGGTGACCTTATGCAGGATTTAGGGCGGCATGTCCAGTACTGTATCCACAACCTCAGGTGATATTATCCAGGATTTAGGGCGGCATGTCCAGTACTGTCACCACCTCAGGTGGCCTTATCCAGGATTCGAAAGCTCTCCAACCGTTCCTCTAGAGATAATAATTAATGGGGATGGCCTTTTTCATTGTATGATACCAGCCAGTGAGGTGTCGTCTCCACAGTGAAAGTGGACTGAGATGGATCTACCACGGCTTTTATGGATCTATTCAGTGATGTAAGTTTGAGGACAACATCCAGCCATGACCAGCAGCACAAACACAGAGAGAACAAACATGGCAGACTGAGAGTGTTGCGGATCCATTCTTATAACTCTCTATCGGGAAAACATCTGTTGATTATTTTAAAATGTTTCGTAGCCGAATTCGAATGAGATAGATGAGCTCTATTAAATTTTCAACCTGTGGAAGTGGCTACTAGGGCAGCCCAACATTTAAAGTATGTTGTGACCAAACGTGGAATATACAAGAACACGTGGCGCGACGGGTGGGACTCACGCGACAAGAGCCAGACACCTCATATCGACTGAAACAAAAGAGTTGTGTTGATTTGAGTGGATTCAAGAACCGACACCACAGCACTCGGAGCATTACCATAAGCTCTCCGACCCCATCTTCAGCAGCCAGCGCAAAGTTCCAGTACAAAAGAATTACTTTATTGTCTTGAATACCACAGTACTCGCACACATCTCAACATTTGATGTGTAATATGTGAACACTCGTGACAATCTGACCAAACATAACTTCACTGTTGGACTCTCAAAATCTAATTAAACTATGTTCATATAATTGCACACAAACTGCACACCGGGTCCGTGCAGCGTCCAGCACACCGGTCTGTGCGGTGTCCAGCACACCGGTCCGTGCGGTGTCCAGCACACCGGTCCGTGCGGTGTCCAGCACACCGGGTCCGTGCAGCGTCCAGCACACCGGGTCCGTGCAGCGTCCAGCACACCGGTCCGTGCGGTGTCCAGCACACCGGTCCGTGCTGTGTCCAACACACCGGGTCCTTGCAGCGTCCAGCACACCGGGTCCGTGCAGCCTCCAGCACACCGGGTCCGTGCAGCGTCCAGCACACCGGTCCGTGTGGTGTCCAGCACACCGGGTCCGTGCAGCGTCCAGCACACCGGGTCCGTGCAGCGTCCAGCACACCAGTCCATGCAGCGTCCAGCACACCGGTCCGTGTTGTGTCCAGCACACCGGGTCCATGCGGTATTTAGCACACCAGTCCGTGCGGTGTCCAGCACACCGGGTCCGTGCAGCGTCCAGCACACCGGGTCCGTGCAGCGTTTAGCACACCAGTCCATGCAGCGTCCAGCACACCAGTCCATGCAGCGTCCAGCACACCGGTCCGTGTTGTGTCCAGCACACCGGGTCCGTGCGGTATTTAGCACACCAGTCCGTGCGGTGTGGAGCACACCGGGTCCGTGCAGCGTCCAGCACACCGGGTCCGTGCAGCGTTTAGCACACCAGTCCATGCAGCGTCCAGCACACCAGTCCATGCAGCGTCCAGCACACCAGTCCATGCAGCGTCCAGCACACCAGTCCATGCAGCGTCCAGCACACCAGTCCATGCAGCGTCCAGAACACCGGGTCCGTGCGGTATTTAGCACATGAGTCCGTGCGGTGTCCAGCTCCCCGCCTGTACTTAACAAACATCCCAGAAAAGACTGGCATTCATAAAATGAAGTAGAGAGTTACCAGGACACACTAGACAACAGAAAAATCGTAAGCTATAGTCGTCTTTTTATTCACTAAATGTGTACGAAAACTGCAGAGCACGACAAACCACCACGCGATCCTGCAGGAAATGCGGTCGCTCTTGGCAATAGTGCCTATCATCATCTGTTAGCATTTGCATCAAGTAAACACTCTAGGAGCTGGTGTGTACCAGTCAGAGCTATCTGAGGGGAAAAAGGGTCTCGGTTCGCCTCACCAGATACACGTCAAGGCAACCATGTCCTGACATGCACACTACAGGTGCTGACCAGGTCTCCTTGGCTTGGAGAAGTTCAGGGTTCGCTTCCTCGCCTAGCAACTGATCTGATAGACGGCACTGATGCTCCTTTTACAGACTATATCTGTCATTCTGTCCTTGGCTGTCTAACTCTTTTTTTGGTTGGAAGCGGGGGGTGGGGGCGGGGTGGGGGGGGGGGGGCGGACGCTGAGCTTAAAATTACATAACAATTATTTAATTGTAGAATAATAATAATGTTTTACATAGAAACGAGCGCCAGATACTGAATGACTTGTGATGCCTAAAATCACTTATGTTGGTGAGTTCACTTTCTTTAAATACATATTCATGAGATACAGACAGTGCCAAACCGACCGTCTTGACACCCCAGAACATTTCCTGGTGTAGACTGTAGAGCTGGTCGACATTAAAGACGCAGTCAGTAATAAAGTACAAAGTAAATGATAGCTTTCCGCTAGTTGTGGTGGCAGTACTGGTTGTCATGGTGTTAGTGGTTGTGACAGTACTCGTTGTGATGGTGGTAGTGGTGGTTGTAGTGCTGGTTGTGATGGTGGCAGTGGTGGTGGCAGTACTGGTTGTGATGGTGGTAGTGGTGGTGGCAGTACTGGTTGTGATGGTGGTAGCGGTGGTGGCAGTACTGGTTGTGATGATGGTTGTGGTGGTGGCAGTACTGGTTGTGATGGTGGTAGTGGTGGTGGCAGTACTGGTTGTGATGGTGGTAGTGGTGGTGGCAGTACTCGTTGTGATGGTGGTGGTGGTGGTGGCAGTACTGGTTGTGATGATGGTAGTGGTGATGACAGTACTGGTTGTGATGGTGGTAGTGATGTTGGTAGTGGTGGCGGCAGTACTGGTTGTGATGGTGGTAGTGGTGGTGGCAGTACTGGTTGTGATGGTGGTAGCGGTGGTG